AAACCCTCACCCCCAAATCAGCCCTCCCCGGGGGAATGTTTTCCCGCAGAACACGCGGCACCGTCGCGATATTTGGGTTTTTTCTTTCTTTTTCTCCACTTTACCCTCCTGAGCGTGGCTCGCTGTCGATCCCTCCCTCCCCGCAGCACCGGCCAGGGTTTGCAGAGCCGAAGGAAATTCAGTGAGGTTTAATCCTGCGCTCTCCGCGGTCAGAGCATCCTCTGGCAGCTGGAGCACGGCGGGGATGCAGATTTGGGATGCAGTTCTGGGATGCAGGTTTGGGATGCAGGTTTGGGATGCAGATCTGGGATGCAGGTTTGGGATGCAGGTTTGGGATGCAGGTTTGGGATGCAGGTTTGGGATGCAGGTTTGGGATGCAGGTTTGGGATGAGGTTTGGGATGCGGGTTTGGGATGCAGATTTGGGATGCAGGTTTGGGATGCAGGATTGGGATGCAGATCTGGGATGCAGGATTGGGATGAGGTTTGGGATGCAGATTTGGGATGCAGATCTGGGATGCAGGTTTGGGATGAGGTTTGGGATGCAGGTTTGGGATGCAGGATTGGGATGCAGGTTTGGGATGCAGGTTGGGATGCAGGTTTGGGATGCAGGTTTGGGATGCAGGTTTGGGATGCAGGTTTGGGATGCAGGATTGGGATGCAGGTTTGGGATGCAGGTTGGGATGCAGGTTTGGGATGCAGTTTGGGATGCAGGTTTGGGATGCAGGACACGAGGACACGGCCGGGGTTGGGACCCCCGTGGGGCACAGGGTTATTCCAAGTGTCACCAGGAGCGATTTTCCATGCAGAACCCCCCAAAGTCCCGCCGTGCTGGAGGTGGGAGGGGATTTCTGGAGCAGCAGGGATTAATTAACTAATTAATCAATCAATAATTAATATCGGGAGCTCGCTGCACCAATGAGGCACCTGGCTGCACCTGGCCATGGATCTGGGCTCGGGAAATTAAAATGTTATTGATGGGGGAAGAAAAGTGCAATGGGATTTTTTTATTTTCTAATTATTTTTTTTTAATTTGAATTTTCTTTCTCTTTGGTCAAGCCGGGAGCACAAAGAGCCCCATCCCGAATCTCCAGGAGTTTCCTGCTGCATCCCATCCCAAGGGAATGCTCTGGACTGAAATTGCCTTTATTTGTGGGGTTTTTCCCCCTCTACACTCCTAGGAAGCAACACAGGGCACAAATACAGGTAAAAATAGAAATACAGGTAAAAATAGAAATACAGGTAAAAATAGAAATACAGGTAAAAATAGAAATACAGGTAAAAATAGAAATACAGATAAAAATAGAAATACAGGTAAAAATAGAAATATGGATAAAAATAGAAATACAGGTAAAAATAGAAATACAGGTAAAAATAGAAATACAGGTAAAAATAAAAATACTGATAAAAATAGAAATATAGGTAAAAATAGAAATACAGGTAAAAATAGAAATACAGGTAAAAATAGAAATATAGGTAAAAATAGAAATACAGGTAAAAATAGAAATACGGATAAAAATAGAAATACAGGTAAAAATAGAAATACGGATAAAAATAGAAATACTGATAAAAATAGAAATACAGGTAAAAATAGAAATACGGATAAAAATAGAAATACAGGTAAAAATAAAAATACGGATAAAAATAGAAATACAGGTAAAAATAGAAATACGGATAAAAATAGAAATACAGGTAAAAATAGAAATACAGGTAAAAATAGAAATACAGATAAAAATAGAAATATGGATAAAAATAGAAATACAGGTAAAAATAGAAATACTGATAAAAATAGAAATACAGGTAAAAATAGAAATACAGGTAAAAATAGAAATACAAACACGCTCTGGAGGCGGGGGATGAAGCCTCTGTGTCCTGTCAGCCCCTCAGCAAGGAAACCTCCTGAATAAAATCACTCCTGAGCCATTCCTGACATTTCTGCAGGGAGAGATTTCTGATTGATTAAATTCGGGCTCGGGTTGGGGGAGATTTCAGTGTTGCAGCTCCACAGCAAAACCTGGGTTGGGGCTGCTTTAAACTCTTTCAATTGTTAATTTAGCACCAGATTGATTCTTTATTAAAAAAAAATAACCCAACAAAAAAACCAACAAAAAAAAAACCCACAAAAGAAAACAAAAACTCAAACTGAAATCAAACAAACAAAACCACCAAAGAACCAAACCACCCCAAAACTTAACAAAAAAAACCCCAAAGCACCACAAAATCCCGATCAAACCCAGATTTCAGTGCCAAACATCGCCTGGGACCGGGTTTCCCAGACAGATCCTGTCCTGTGCACCAGGGAACAGCCCCAAAATCAACCCCAAAAATTCGGGGCGTTCATTCCTCAGTGGGAAAATCCAAAGGAAATGGAATTAATGATGCTGGGAAGGAGCCCGAGAGCCCAGGGATGGTTCCCAGCATGGCAGGGCTGGGAAAATCCATCCTGCAGGGGCACAACCACAAACCCAGCTGCATTTGCTGGGGGGAAATGGAGGTTTATTTATCTGAAAAGGGTTTTATTTATCTGAAAATGGGTGTTATTTATCTGAAAAAGGTTTTATTTATCTGAAAATGGGTTTTATTTATCTGAAAATGGGTGTTATTTATCTGAAAAAGGGTTTTATTTATCTGAAAAAGGGTTTTATTTATCTGAAAATGGGTGTTATGTCCTGAAAAAGGTTTTATTTATCTGAAAAAAGGTTTTATGTATCTGAAAAGGGTTTTAGGCGCAATCTGTGCCCCAGCCAGATCCAGATCCAGGATCCCAGAGCCAGGTCCATGGAAGGGTATTTTATATATTTTATGTATTTATATAATATATATTTCTATATTTTAATGATTTGAGCTGTTTTTTGCTGCTGAGGGGCCCTGTGGGATGGGGAGGGGGTGAGGAGTGACCCTGTGGCTGCTGAATGTGACTCAGGGAGGGTTTTTGGGGGCCCCTCAAGCACTCCAGGGTTTGTTCTCCCTTGTATCACCCAGAATGAGCAAATTTAAAAATAATAAACCGAATTTTTCCAGCTTTTTCAGCCTTTTTTATTCCCCTGTGCTCCCAGGGTTGTTCTCCAGGCCATAAATCAACACATTTACACTTTATATTCAAATTGAAACGCACCCTCGTTATTAAAAAATTCATTTTCACCTCCCTGCCTCCTTTCATGCTCCCAAATAAACCCAGCCAAGCCTCTCCTTCTGTGGGATATTCATAATTTTTACTCGCTGGGCTCGGGAGTAACAACTGAACCTCATTCCTTGATTTTCTTTTAGCTAAAGAACCACAAACTCTCCATGGAATTCTCCACTACACAGGAATAAATATGGATATCGAGGTGTTCTTGGAAAATCCAGATGTGGTGAAAATTCCCACTGGGATTTTTGGGTTGTTGGGTTCTGGTTTTTTTAGGGTTGATTTTTTTTATTTTTCTTTTTTTTTTATGGGAGTTTTGTTTATTCTGTTTTTGTGTTAGGAACAGTACTTTAAAGGTCTGTTAGGGTTTTACTAATTTTTGTCAGTAATTTACTAATTACTGTATTATTAAAATTCTTAATATATTAGTAAAATATATTATATTATTAAAATTATGACTATAATATTAATATATTATTAAAATACAATATATTATATTATTAAATTATTAATATGTTGTTAATATATTATTAAACTATAATATATTATATTATTAAAATTATGAATATATTATGAATATATTACTAAACTATAATATATTATATTATTCTTCAGATTTTTTGCTTAAGTTTAATTTACTATCATTTGGTTTAAATTGGTTTGAATGGTGCAAAATGGCTTTGAAATATGCAGCTTTTTTATTTTTACACTAATTTACACTTAATTAACAATAGACAGGTAAATTATTTTTTAAATTTTTTTTAGTGATTTAATGATTTAACACTTGTGTGCTGCAGTGCAGCATTCTCTAATTATTTATTAAAAATTAAAAATTATTAAAAATTATTATTTCCATTACTAATGATTTATTTTAAATTATTAGCTTATTAATTTTTTTATTATTAAAAACTTCTAGAAGATGAAGAAGATTATGAAGAAAGAAGAAGGACAAGAGGCAACACCTTAAATCTTCTATTTTGTCTTCTGTTCTCTAAGCTAGTTTAAATTTTAAGTTTTTCACCCAATGACTTAAGAAAACTCTAATTTCCACACACTTTTAGCTTTTCTATTTAACAGTTGTTTTCATGGTGTTCTATGAAATTCAGAGTTTTCTTGGATGTCAGAGCCAGGTATCAGAGATAAGGGCATGAACTCTGTGCCTCAGACTACAGCAGGGTGTGGGAGGGAGGTTTTATCCCTTCTTGGTGCTTTATTAATATAATATAATATAATATAATATAATATAATATAATATAATATAATATAATATAATATAATATAATATAATATAATATAATATAATAATATATAATATAATATAATAAATATATAATATATATTATATTATATTATATTATATTATATTATATTATATTATATTATAT